CCTTGTTGAGCTCTCGGTAGTACCATGGAACAGAACTGCCGAGTCGGGTCGAGTCGAGTTCACGGAGGCCCATGGTCCGGGGCTGAAAGTGCGCTGGGTCAGGAACCCGCGTCTGAAGATGGGCTGGATCTGGTGCAGTGGATTATCGGCTGGTGTAGTTCAAATGTTCCATATACGCCCGATATCCTCGTAGGTAGATTGATATCAGTCCAATACACTCACTCACTACTATACTACCTACAGGTAGGTAAGGGATGGTGTCCACCAACTCAACGGGATGACATCATCGATGAGTGTGCAGGCAATTCAGGCCATCATCATCTTGCATTCAAGTCCAGAGCCTTCATCCACTCACGTCTACAGTTCAAGAGAGATCGCCACCAGGCACTAATGATATGATCGAGGGTCATCAATCTGTGTGGCTTGAATGCAGGTTCGAATACAAAGGAGTTACGTCAGAGTCACTGACCTGCGGCTGGTGCCCGGCGCCTTGCGACACTTAAACAACCTTGACTCTCACTCGTCTTTTCTTCCCCTCAACTTCTTAACCATCGGATCATCTACTCTAACAATCTAGAGGAACCTATGATTTCGTTGGTTTCCATCTAAACATTTCACTCTCACTTGCTGCCGCCAACCATGGCCTACTACGACACTCGACCATACCCTCCCCATGATCGCTACCCCCCAGCAGACTACCCCGAAGCGCCGTATTACCACGGAGGCAGTGCATATAGCGGAAGTGGCACGATTGCGCCTCCCCCCGTCGGTGGGGGTTCCAGAGATGCATACTACCATGGCCATCCCGCCAGAGAAGGGCATAGATCGCATTCTGCCGGATATTACGATGACTCGTACGACTATGAACGCCCTTCCCGGCGGTCCAGGCATCACGATGAGCGACGTGCGTAATTTTCCTTCCCAGTTGACGGGCGCAGTCAAGGTAAGAACTTGGCGCGGCTGACTTTCATCATCAGGCGGGCGTGAGAAATACGCCTACTCTCCCTCGAGCAGTCGCTCGCCCCCCCGCCGTCGCAGATCTCTGTCCGAGCGTGCCCTTGGCGCCTTGGGTCTAGGAGCCGCGGCCAGGGCCGCTTCCAAACATCGTGGGAGCGGCCGTGGTCGTTCTCGTGGACGAGACCACAGCAGGTCTTACTCGTCTTCACCGTCCCCGCCTCGCGGGAATCGCCACCGCCGCGAAAAGAGCGAGCAGCGAATGGAACAGGTTATCAAATCAGCTTTGACTGCAGGTGCGGTTGAGGCCTTTCGAGCTCGCAAGGAACCAGGAGACTGGTCTGGTCCTAAAGGCAAGCGTGTTCTCACAGCTGCGCTGGCTGCCGGAGGGGTGGATGGGTTGCTCGATCGGAACCCTGACAGGCATTCCAAACGTCATATCCTCGAATCTACCCTTGCCGGCCTTGCGACAAACCGGGTCGTTCACGGTTCGCGGTCCCGTTCGCGGTCCCACAGGCGTTCTCCCTCCCGCTCCCGCTCGCGCTCCCGCTCCCGTGGTCGAGGCGGGGCAAAAAACGCTGCTCTCATGGGAATTCTAGCTGCCGCCGGCAAAGAAGCGTATGATCGGTACCAAAAATCTCGCTCTCGTTCCCGGCCGCGTCGTCGGTCCAGCTCTCGGGACAGTTATGATGACTACCACCGCGGTTCTCGTCCGCGTCATTCGAAGAGGCGGAGCCGGAGCGTGTCCGACTACGTCAATCGAGGCATGGCAGCCCTGGGCCTTGCCGACAAGGATGGCAGGAGTGATAAGGATGATCGGCAGCGTCACGATCGTCATAGGTCGTCTCGCCATGATGACTACTACTCTGACGACGATGACGATGATTATTATCGCCGACATCCGAGCCCGGCACGGGCCAGGCATTCCAGAGATGTGAGTCGACCTTATTATGCCCCTGCAGCGGGAGCCAGAGGCGCCGAGGGCTATTATGGTCGTCGCCAGTCGGACTTAGAATCCTACTACCCGCGCTCTGACTCCCAAGCAACCCACGGCCAACAGCGTGACACGAAGCAGAATGGTTCTGACGCAGATGATAGCACCGATGAGCGTAAGAAACTCAAGAAACTCAACCGGGAAACATTGTGGGCCACCAGTATCGCCGCTGCCGCTACCGTTCACATGGCAAAATCTCTGGCCGAAGACTTCGAAAAACACAAACATCGCGCGAAACTGCTCAAGGAGGGGGAGATCTCACCCGAGGAGGCCCGCCGTCTTCATCTCAAAAATCAACTTTCCGACGTCGCCAGCGTAGGCGTTGCCGCCCTAAGTATTCGATCAGCCGTCTCGGAGTGGAAGCATTTCAACCAGAAGCGACGTGAAAGAGCCCAATTACACAAGGCATGCAAAGAACGTTCCAAGTCATTGAGCAATAGCAAACGGCGCTCGAAATCTGGTGCACGGCGTGCTCGGAGCTTGGACCGTGGCGCGCCATGGACTGTTTATCCGGACGAAATCGAAGAAAATATCTCTGCTTCTGATGCTAGATCGAGGTCGACGAGACGCTCTCCCAGTGCGATGGTTTGATTCTGTGCGCTTTTTCCTTTCCCCCCTCTGTCGATTTTTAAGCTGAACACGCGACGAGTATTCTTACGAACATGACTGATGATGTGATGACACTTATGATCTGGCCATGACATGACCTGACCCTGTTATGATGGACTTTTCTTTACGAGACTGCGACGTGACGACATGATATTTGTATGCTTATGACACGCTCTATGGCTTCTATGATACTGGCGGCAATAATGTCTCAATTTCGGTTGATGTTTCTTAATCTCTTGCCCTTTTCTTCCACTTACATGTACTTGCTGTATGATAGCGTGGATGGACTGGAAATACAAATTGAGCAACTCTCCTTTGCATTTCATGACATACTAGGTACTGCCTATTAGTATAATAGTTTTGCAAGACGCATATAAGGCCATCTGCATAAGCAGTTTCTCTATGGATTCACCCACTAACAGCGTCTTCCCCTTACTCCTCGCTGAATACACCAAAGATGATGATATCAATCAAGGTCAGCCAACCTCACCTCGTTACCCTAGGCTAGGTAGGTATGTAAGCCTGCCTGCGCAACTCTTCTTCAGTCCTTTAGTTCTACATACGCACTACCCAGTATAATACAATCACTTCGCCTTTTATCGGCACTAAGTCAACCAGACACTAGGACGCTGCCCTCGTGGACTAATTTGCTATACCACTCTTGTTTCTCGGACGTGGTTGAGTAGTTATGTTATAAGCAATTGGTAACCTTGGCAGCTTTATAGTATTCTAGGTAGAACTTAGGTACTACCTTATGCTCCCAATCGATCGACAGCCCCCTCACTACTTGAACAAGGTTTTCTTCCAGTCTGGCCACTTCATACGAGAGGTAACTAACGAGGTCCGATATTGTCAAGTGTACTCTGTACACGTGACAACCCAGTGCTCAGGTTCACTGCAGCCATCAATGGATCTCTTTTCATGGGTCAAGAACATGCGCAGCGCCGTGTTTCGAACTGGCTGGATTCTACCTATTATCTCGGTATCCGACTTTCAATCGGCCTGCCGTGGGCACTCCCAAAATAGTAAGGTATACTAACTGCCCGGTCCTGTACCTAGCATGCGAGAAGGACAGTACCTAGTGCCTGACTCGGGACTCAGCAGCTACATACATAGGTTCTAGAATGTGAGCTCTAAGAATGCCATGCATGTAGTTCTTACCACTCTGACGGGAGCGGAGCCTCCTGTCGCTTCTTCCTCTCGCAGCAACTTTCGAGGATGAGGCCTACCTAGTACCAATCCAATCTTAGGCAGGCATCGCCTCTCCTTCGCGACTCGAGGGCAAAACCAAACTTAATAATAAAGACCCCCCTCCGCCCTCCTGCCTTTCTCTTCCATCTGCAGAAGGGGCATTTCGTAACAATCCGATGATGAGTCGCTGTTGACTGTCCCAGGTTTCCTGTGCAAAATGAGGTAGGTAGATAGATAGATAGATAGATGACTGATGAAACGGAATACAAGATAAAAAAGGGTTACCCTAGGTGAAAAAACAAAAACATACAACAGTAGGGATTCGCATGTGGTCACCCACCATACTACTAACCTACCGGCGTGTGGCTTAAGTACGGCTGAGCGGACGGGAAGCCCTGTTCTCCACACCCTGTGGTCGTATGTACCCAGTTGTAAAGTAATCTAGTAGATCTGTGTCTTGATATCAAATTCCTTGATGTTATTCTTTGAATAGCCATCCCGGAGGGTGCCAGCTGAGCTGCGCGGTCAAGATACTCTGCACGCCTGCATTTGTTTTCCTGCCGAACCGGGCCTTTCTAATAGAGTACCTAGAGAGGGTGTATCCCCGAGGGTTCCTAGAGCTATTAATGCCAAGGGTCTTCTGAAATGACCAGAGATAGAACGGCAACTGCATTAATATACTGCTGGCTGCTCTCAATGCCTAGCGTCTGCTCATCAAACGGCGTGCATCCGGCTCCGGATGGGCCCTGCCGTGTCGGGAGGATGAATAAATGGGACGGTACGGATATAGGACCTTGGTGTCAAGAAACATAACGAGCTTCTTCTCAGTAGCCAGGGCTCCATCAGGAAACGAGTATTCTTGGCAGAACTCCTATACAGTATTGGCCTTGTAGGGATCCAGTGACCTGCGCCCCCGGCCCCTATTTACCTCCCATTCTTGCTGCTTGTTGGTGTATGCATGCCTTAGTTTTCTGCGGCCGCTGGCTCCGCACACGGTGCAGCGCCTTGCGGCTGTATAGATCGAGCTGGTCCTGCAGCTCAATCTGCTGCAGCTCCGGGGGGTCAGATACGTGGCGTATCCGGGGGTGGTGCCGGATTTCGCGGGAAATTTTGCAGGCTGGAATATACATGCATATTGAGAACAGATGATATTGAAGATTTAGTAGAGGTGGTGTGGTGGTGCACTTGGATTTCGCATACATCACGTGATACTCGTGGTATGGACCCAAAAAAAAAAAGAAAAAAATAGAAGCGTCAGCAGCAGGGTTCGAACCTGCGCTCCCGAAGGAATTAGATTTCAAGTCTAACGTGTTAACCACTCCACCATGCTGACGGTCTGGTACTTGCTCGCCTCCAATAATGTTCCTTGTACATACGTCACTCAAATTCAAACCTAGATCTGCGCTTAGGGTTATGAAACCGCATACGGACAGAGAATATATTTATATACCGTCGGCGAGACCGGAAGAAGGTGGTGTCGGCTACTGATCAGGTGTAGAATTATCATACAAATAATATGAGGTAGGATTCGATAGAGACAATCCTTGTTGCCCAAGGATTACAGATTGCTAGCGATACATAATGGAAAGGCTACCAGCTAGCTAATGTAGCGCTGTGGTTACTATAACCGGACTTACGATGAGCACACGATCTCGTCTTGGATCCGATTAGGTTGGTTCCAAGCTTTCGTCGAGTTTATGTGTAGAAAATACGTGAGAGAAGAGCGTAATCTCGATCCATAATATTTCCAGCCATGCCATGCGAGCATGGAGCCGACAATGTACGTGGTAGGCCGCGATGTGGTAATAATCCAACAAAATCCAAACCAGGCTAGACGTAACCATAGCAGATCAGAACCAGACTACGCCAGGTTCAAACCGATCTATGTACATATACAGTGTACTCAGCGGCGATCGGGCGCGAACAAAAATATTGCAGTCAAAAAAAGCATACAGAGTGGATATCAGACAGGCCGGGCTGAATTAGTTAAGGAAAGACAGGAATGCAAAGCGAGACGAATCAAAAGGTAGATGGCAATCGCTGGGTGAGATTATGCATAGATGAAGCTCGGCGTTGCGCTGGATAGATACAGTAAGATGGACGGATGGGTCATGTTAGCGCTCGTTTTGCTTTTGGTTGGTTTCGCGTGGTCGAGGGTGTGGTCTAGGGTGTCGGATGGTTTCCGTACAGTAGTGGAGATCGATGAAGGAGGGCGAGAAGGAGCGTAATGTTACCCGTGGTGGATAGGGAGAGGAGTGGTTTGATTTCCAATTCCTTAGTCAGATGGCGCGAAGTTAAAGCCGGCTATCGATCGGCATTGAGGTTCAACCAGCTCATATCCTTGTTAATGTTGCTGTTTGGAACGGGCCCGTCTGGGATAAGAACACTGGAACCCCGCGTGTTCGTTCGTGCTGAATCATGCCTCCTCCAGTCGAGAGCGGATGGAGCCGCTGATGAGGTATGCTGTGGATTGTACATACTTCGGCTGTATGTGCTGCTTGGGGGTCGGCCTAGCCAGCTTTGTTCTCGTGCTTCGGGTTGCCCGTCGGGGTCATCATCAGAGATGATGCTAGCCGAGTCAGCGCTGGAAATCCGAGCCGACTGACTTTCAGGGATCAATATCTGCCGACCGGGCTCCGTCGTGGGGCTGCCGCTGTTCACTTTACCGAGTGGTTTCGGTTGCTCTAGGAAATTCGTGTTCAGAGGGGCAAGGGCATTGTGGGTACTGTTACCCCCGGCTCCGGGCCATAAAGTTGCGCTGGAGTCACGCACAGAGTTGAACTGCGGCTGCATGCCGACCAGGGTCGTGGGCGCGTTGTTCTGGAAGTATTTGCTCCAACCTTCGTCGGTGGTTCGATTTCCAGGTTGCACATACGGATTTCCGGCGTCGATTGCTTTGTCTTCAATGTCCAAAGAAGACCTGTCAGAGTCGCGGCTGGATTGGATATTGTTAAGAGGACTCGGCCGTGCAGGCTGAGTTTTCGGCGCCTGATGCGGGGCTGTACCGGCGACTATGGGGCCCTTTTCATCGCCCATCTTGCCTGAAAACATGGCTAAGGAGTCCATGGACGCTGCCCTGATAGCGGGACCTTCCGCCATCGGGTAGGCTGAGCGGGCCAGGGGTTCTACACCCTGATCCTGGAAGCTCAGCCGGCCCCTGTCTGCTCCACTTGCTTTCCTCATCTTGTCCTTCTTGCGCTTGATAAGGAATAGGATGAGAAGTAAGATCGCGGCAGCCCCTATGAGACTGCCTAGGGTTGCGCCAATTATCGTGCCGAGATCATTCCCCGACCCGTTGCTTGACTGGTCGGACGTTGTGGACTCGGTCTCAGTGGCCGCAGGACCCGACGAACTGGTCGGTGTCCCGAGGATCTCTTGTTCAGACTTGTCACCGTAAAACAGCCTGGTCGCATTGACCCAGCCGTTCGAGGTTTGGTTGAAGATGGACAACGCATCAGTGCCACTGCCGCTTGATATAACCACCAGATCTTCCCCCTGAGCAAATGAATCATCGTTTGGCGCTGTTTTCGGTGCGAAAGTATCATCGTATTCCGGAGGGTTAGTCTCCTGTCTCTTTCCAGGAGGCTGAGATCCCCGCGGCGGAACCATCGAGGTGACATTGACTGGTGACGCTGACATATCGAAGGCGTGCAGCAGCGTTCGGTCATCATTCAGGGCAAGCTTCGCGCCGTCAGGCACGGTCAAGTTGAATGAAGCTTCGTGCCATTCGTCGTTCGGGTTCCAGAGAAACACACGCGATGTGTTCAGTTGGCCTTCAAGCATCGCAGCTTCTTTGGGGCTCCAGGTGAGTATAGACGGGGAAGGTGCAACGCTGGTGATTTTTAAAGACCCGGAGAGAATGTGATATTGCTGTCTAGCGTTCAAAGAAAAGGTAGAGGAAGAGGGTTCTGATGTGTCTTCTCGGGAACCGCCATACACCAGAAGCGTAGCGCTCGATTTCAGATAGACCACGCTGTGGGATGTCCGGTTGGAAAGATCCTGGACGTCGAGGGGAATCGTTTCCCATTTTTCATGCTTGAAAGAATACCGTTGTAGCCCTGGCGGATTGTCCTCCGAAGACGACCCTCCGACTACATAGAGAGCCTGCTGAGTTTCATCTCCGTCGATACCAGCCGTAACACATGCCGCGTCCGAGACGGGCACATCGCTCATGGGCAGTTCATGCCACCTGCCATTGTATTTGAGGGGAATAAAGACGAATCCATTGGGGGTATAGGTGTACAGCGTCTTGTTGTAAATCACTGAGCAATGGCCCTCCAAGTTCACTGGGGGGTTGGGTACAACCATGTTTCTGAAGGAAGGATAGCGAGATACAGGTTGAGTCTTCGAGTATACCAGCCGAAGATTGGATCTAGTGGATAACCAGCCACCCGAAGAGAATGCGGCGGGGAGGGGTTGAGAAGGAGGGGGGTTGCAAAAGAACGGAATGTGACTGCCAGAGCACTACCTCATGATATCGAAGGGGGGTTTGTTGGTAAAGGGCCGTCCCTGAAGACGTTGGATGGCACTCAGCGAGTTAACAAAATATGGATTTACAGAGCGAACGTGGAAGTCTGGACCTTCGCAGGCAATTAAAGATCGACGAGGTAATAGCCTGAAAAGGAGCGAAGGACAAGAAGAAGAAACGAATGGTCGACCTGGTGGCTGTCAACAGAATAATCCCAAGGGGCTGGAAGAAATCATAGGGCGATGGATGCACGATGTCAAACCGGCGCGGAGAGAACGAGCGACACGCGACCGCGAAAATCAAGGGGAGCAACAGAAAACAACAAGAACAAACAAAGAAAAGAATGGGATCGGGGAGGGGAGAGAAGGAGGTGAAAAAGAGAAAAGCCGTCGAGTCAGGGGAGAAAGCAGAGAGAGCGGATTAATTGCCTTCGGCAGCAGACTGAAACAACGGCCCCAGCTTAGGCCAACAACAAGCAGCTAGAAAATTCTCTCACCTTGCTCAATTCAATTCAGTTCAATAATTCAATCCAGGGTCGTCGACTGCATGAGGGAATGGATGATGATTCCAAGGAAAAGAAAAGAGAAGTGGGAAGAATAATGAGAGAGGGGGGGGATGGTGAGGATGGACTGTGGGAGCGACCAGCGCGAGCAGATCGACAGAGCAGAAAGCAAAGGGAAGAAAAGCAGAAAATAATAATACCTAATGAGATGAGATGACACAACAACCAAGTGATGTGACAAGCTAAGCTGCAGGAACGTTCAACCAATGCTAACTAATAGTAATCTTAATCAACCATACAAACGGCCCATACCGGTTTGTTGATGGAATATTATGGATGATGGAGTCAATTCCTTACAGCTGGACACTGTAAGGGACCCATTCAGGGGTTGATCCCGTCCTCCACACTACGGCTATCTGTACCTGATTTACCATGATTATTATTACCCATCGGCATCGACTCCATCAGAGTTGAAAGGGCTGATGATGGCAGAGTTTTCAGCAAAGGTCTCGTGAAACAGAGCCAGTCCAATAAATGGCCTGTGCCGCAAACTGTTCCTGCATCTCGCTCTGCAGCCTCACCACTCACAGCAACTTTGAGGATTTTAGCCAACTGTCTGGCTGCCCGCTGTTTGCGAATGCATTGTTCTCGCAGTCTCATTGGCTGAGCATCGGAGTTTTGTCTTGATCGGCCTCGAGTCTGAATGGATGATGACCCAGGTGGAGCCGTGATGCTTCTTTGAGCTTCTAAGCGACCTTCTGACCCTTCCTAGTCCTACGCTTGAGGAAATATGCCCCGAAGAAAAAAATATATACTACCTGGCCTAAGGGGTTGATTAAGTGTCCATTCAAAATGCCCTGCTGATGTGGTGATAACGCTAACAATGGTATATGTACTGCTATCATCATTATTGCCCTGTTGCTGACTCCTGCTTCCATTGGTGCGCCATCCGCAGCAGCTTCGACAGGTTCGCCGCCGACTGGTCGTCTGCTGGGAAAACGTAATCCATATACTCCTCGTATCGGTCGTCGTCGAGCTTGCGCCGCTTCTTGACACGCCGTGGCATCTGTTTTTCGATCTTGTCGATGTCCTCCGGCGATCCGTGAGTATGCTCGAACGACCGCCAGGCATTGAGCAGCTCCACTCTCTGTAAGCGTGTTAGCATCCGGCGTATCCAGAACATCAAGCATAAAACATACCTCTTCCTTAAGGTCCTTCTCCTTGAAGAGATTGTGTGCACGCTTGAATACAGCCCGCGCACGTCGTTTCGCATCCTCGCTGATCGGTCGCTCCTCCTCCTCTTCCTCTTCCTCTTCTTCCTCATCCGGCACGTTGATCTCAAACCGCGCGTAGTTGATCCATA